AGGCTATGCAGTAGAATAGGATTAACCGAAAGCAGTAACATGCTACACTACTCTAATGCAAGCAGTGGAGAAGAATAGGCGATATCTGGTGATCAAGGGGGGGCTTGCCTGGTTGCTCTGGCAAGAGAGAGGGGTCGTTGACACCGTAGTCGAACTGGGGTCGCCGGCAGTCTCGGGGTCTACCGGAAAGGAGTAACGGAGGGGGAATACAATAAATAATAAAGCAATCAAACTATCACAAATCATAACAAGACAATACACGGTGCTAGAGGTGACCTAACGCGGTACGAGATGATACCGGTGAAGGGGGAAAACATCCAGGAAAATATCCCCGGTGTTTTGCGTTTTCGGGCAGAGGAGCCGGAGGGGGGAAAGTTGTAAGTTCGATAGGTTAGGGATGCGTGGCGGACGAACGGGCTGCGTATCCGGGTTCGTCTCGTCGTTCTGAGCAACTTTCATGTACAGAGTGTTTTCGTCTGAGCTACGGTTTATTTTATATGATTTTCTAAAGTTTTTAAGCATTTTTAGAATTAACAGAATTAATTTGATTTAGAAAATGCCATTATGATGTCAGCATGAGGTCAGCGTGATGTCATCAGTCAACCAGTCAATTGACTTAGTCAAGCTGACTGGAGGGTCCCACTGTCATTGGCTATTTGTTAACAATTTAATTAAACAAAGTTAATTAGTTTTGTTAAATGATTAGGTTAATTAAATATAATTAATTAAGTTAATTAATCTTTTAATTAATTAATTAATTAATATATCTTTAGTTTTATTTATTTTTTAAAATGTTTAATAGGGGCGTGCCCCACATGTCAATGGCCCGGGGGCCAAACGGGCTAACGGGTGCGGGCGCCGGGCGGCGGATGCACACGATGCCCAAACGGGCGCTGGCGTTCGGGGCCGCACCCGAACGGACGTGCGCCCAGGCCAGCAGGGGAAGCGCCGGCCACGGCAGCAGGCGCCAGCGCCGACGAGCGGCGGCCAGCAGGAGGCGACAATAGGCGGCGCGAGAAGGGGCGGCCGGCGCGGCGAAGCAACAACGGCGACGGCGGGGCCGCAGGGCAGGGGCGACGCGGGCGAGTGCAGGGGAAGAGGTGGCCGCGGCCTCAAGCAGCGGGGCAGAGGTGGGGCGGCACCTGGGGTGAGCAGCAGCGGCTGAGCGCGGGT